GCTAACAAAGGGAAGGGGGAGGAGTCCGGCGTCGTCGATGTCCGGTGAGTTTGCCCAAGAAACTTTCTGCACGAGCGCCAGCCAAGGCATTGGCCTATACACATACAGCACAGCAATGAAGTAATAAAATGAACTAGGATCACACTAATCCAGCACGTTATTAATACAATCTAAAAGAGGAGGGGGTAATGATACATGATATATACACATACATACATACATACATACACACACACACTTGCTGTATATTGAGACATGTCACACGTTTATTCAGGCAGACAATTTGAGTATTTCTGGCCTGCAATGCAAGTTAAGAGAACAAAAATGCTTTAACTACCAACTACAAATAAAACAAAAGAAAAATAATCCGCAACATTTACTTATGACAGTGATACAGGCCCTTCAGTGACTTCAGAAGATGCCCTACAACTGCTTCAGCCTGCCAAAAATGTTTTGCTTTTTCTAGATTCTGAAAATTCAAGGTTTCACCTGACACCTTTCATTTTGTAATCTATGACCTTGTTATTTATAATGTTAAAAATCCTGCCATTAATTTGACAATTCCAAATAAGCAGAGATGTCAAATGAGGATTAAAAAAAAAAAAAAAAAACATCAGACCCAGTCTTTTAATGTCAAAACTGAAGGCTCGTCTACAAGCTGGTGATCACCTCACGTTCAGCATGCCGTCAGCTGAAAATAAATTCCCATCCTACGAGCTACATATAAAAGGTGTGTTGCATACCAAAGCAGATCGTCAGAAATCCTTTCAAACCCAGGATAACGGGAGAGAAAAGGATGAATGAATCTATGCCGGATGCCAAGGAGAGAAAAATGACCCTCGCAACTTCAATGTCTGACAAACTATAGGGTGACAAAGGAAGATGTGGGGGATCAAGAGTGGTCCAGATCTCACAACAGTGTGATTTTGTTTCTTCGCAAAGGTTGAGTTACTGGTTACGCACGGTTCTACATTTAAAGCAAGCAACAAAGCAAAAACAGAACGCAAACGTTATGTGAAAAGTTATAACAATCTTCCGATCCGCTTGGGAACTCAATCCCGCAATGGCCGACCAATGTGAACAGCAACACCATTACAAATCTGGTAGTAACTAACCGGGCTCTTAGCAATCTCACATCTCAGAATAGGTCATCCTCGGCCTCCAGACACAGCTCTCATTCTATTAACATATTTCCTTTCTTCCTCCCTCAGTTCCTAAACATAATAAACAGTATACACTGCAAAAACATCTTTTTGTTAGTATAATTCAATCACATACAGCAGTTTTGAAGGCGTGGCTTGTGTATATGTATCTGTGTTTCCCTCTCATTTAGCTTTACTTAGCTGGAGGGTCGAGGAGCCAGAGGTCACCACGAAGAGGAACTTCACACTTATCTTACAAAGGACAACAAAGGCACCTTTACAAATGATTATTAATGATAATCTACAAACAGATACGTATAAATAACAGAAACTTATAAATAATTGCAGATATTTCATCCTTTGCATATCTTATTTGTCTTTTCCTCCCACAGTAGCCATTTTTACTAAGAGCAGATGAAACCATCTCCCCTTACTTCCTGGAACATGTTTCAGTGCACATGATCTGGGGGGAACACCTTTCTTGTGATATTTTGCAGTTTACATGTGAGATTTCCCATGAAGGCACTGGTGATGTAGCCTTCCCAGGATGCATCTCCGAGACCAGGGCTACATCACCCGTGCCTCATTCAGCCAGGAAGTGGAAAAAGAGTCATTGCAAGTTAAAGCAAAAATGTTTAATGACTTTAAGATGATTTCATATCAGCATGCTGAGCTGCATGCTGATATGATTTTTAGTAAACGGGGGTACAAGTCCAATTAAGTCACTCAAGGGGGGAAGCGTTTCTGCGCAAATTTTAAAAGGTAAACTAATCGCGTTTCAGCGCTGAAACGCAATTAAAACCGCATTCAAATCTGTATGGAATCCGCGCTGATTTCGAGACGCGCAATCGCATGAATGATCCCCATAGGAATGTATGTGATCGTTCATGTTGGCGCTGTAGCGCGGACAAATCCTCCCTGGTTCGGTGCAGAACCTGTTCTTTTTCCCACAACTCCCTCCTACTCATCTCTTACGCCTTGTTCACACCAAATGTAGACCAGATCTGCATGAGTTTCTGCACATGCAGTGCCGGGGGTTGTGCCGCGTTTTTTGCCCCATTTTTGATGCGTTCAGGGCCGTTTTTTGGTTAAAAATTGTCTTATTTTTTATTTAAAATGGGCTTTCAGTGCGTTCCAGGGCGTTTGCATGCGTTTTTGATGCATTCCAGAGCAGGTAAAATAGGGCTTGCTGCAGTTTTTTTTACATGCTCTGGAACTCAATGCTGCGTCGTGAACTAGAGCCCAAAATACCATTGGAATGCATTGGACGCAGTTTTGATCCGGTCTGTAACTGCTCTGCTCCTGAAACGCGCTTGGTGTGAACAAGGCCTTATCCATCCTACCAGCCTTTTTTCTCCCCTTGTGAAGTCATATATACTCACCAAGTCCTAGAATCCAGTGCTGCATTGGTGCCTGAGGTCGCCACTCACCTGAGCTGATGTCAGTCTTCTTCTGGATCCTGAAAGGACCCCGGCCAATGGATATCCAATAGGAAGTGTCAATGTCATGCAGACTTGGACACCAGGAGGAGCTCTGAGAGTTCCTGCTTGACCTCACCCAGAAGATTGGAGACAATGGTGCTCATGAATGGCGTACCAACAAGAACATTTCCCGATGCCCATAGCAAACAAATCAGAATTCTGGTTTAATTTTTGAATGCATGGACTGTGAAAATGACAGTTGGGTAATGACTGGTTGCTAAGGAAAATAAGATGTCTTCTTCTTTGCACACATCTATTACATCAGCCCCAGCATACGGTCTGGCAGTTGACAGGACAGTATCAGTCATCATGTGACCTCTGACGAATTGCCTTAGCAACAGCATTTCCCCCGTGACCCTGACAGCTTCCTTTTAACCATCTTTAAAACGGAACTAGACCCACAGTTTTACCTGTCTACCAAAACAGTTACTTTCAAGGCATGCCTCATTTTAGTAGTAACTGTTAGGCCCCATTCACACTGAGCGATTTATGGAGCGATTTTTGCAGCGATATCGTTCATATTTCCACGCGATATCGCTCTATGTAGCTTCTCCAATGGAGCTGTTCACATCTCGTCGCTCAATATCGCTCCATATCGCTTGTACCTCGTCGCTGGTAGCTTGTCGCTCCTACATGACCTTTTTTCGAGCGATTTTGAGCGATATTGCTCCAGATTGCATACAGCCCAATAGGAAAAATTTGCGCGACACGTCGCTCAATATCGCTCGTCGCGCAATATCGCTCAAAGTCGCGCGATTTTCATGTCGCTCAGTGTGAATGGGGCCTAGGGTTGCCAGTGTTTTGTGGTTTTTTGCATCTCAGACGAACTTTCAAGCCCTGAAATGGCTGATGTCATAGCTGATCACTTGAGCAGCACCATGGCAGCTGCTATCCAAATAGAGTCCGCCAAGATGACACCTTAATTTGCAGTAAAGAATAGGAGGGTGTAGTTCCACTTTAAAAAAAAGCAACAATGGCTGCAACATCCTTCCTAGCGCTGCCCCCCCCCAATATTTCCTTTCCACCACTAGATATCCTCAGGCTACCAGTTTAAAGGACACTGGGCATTTTTTAAGCCTGGAAGACTGAGGACGTCCTGTGAGTGTAGGAAATCACCACGGCACCCAGCACTCACATTCAATGCAGCCAGCAGTACTGACGTTATCATATCAGTGCCAATCTCTGCATCATTGAGGACCACCAAGTTCTGGGAGAAGATCCAATCAGAAAGAGTATACTGCACATCATGCGAGTAGCCTGAAGACATCTGAAAATGGTAAGTATGTACATACAAAAAAAGGAGAGAGGCTCCAGAGGGGGAGGGAGGAGCCTGGATTTGAGCTCTAATGTAAATAATAGGGATGCACCGATACCGAGTATTTGGGCGAGCACCCGCCCAAATGCTTATCCCGACACCCTAACTTCTGGTATCAGGAAGCCGGGCGGCGAGTCATTACCCGCCCCCCGGCTTCCCGATTGGCCAGAAAGCCGGCTCATTGGTTCCTCGTCACCTGGTGGCGAGGGAGCATGGAGCTGGCTTCCCGGGCCAATCAGGAAGCTTGGCAGCATGTAATGACTCGCCGCCCAGCTTCCTGATTGATCGAGAAGCTGGCCAATTAGGAAGCCAGGCGGCGAGTCATTACACGACCCCCGGCTTCCTGATTGGCCAGAAAGCCGGCTAAATGCTTCTTTGTCACATTGTGACAAGGAAGCATGGAGACGGCTTCCCGGCTTAATCAGGAACACGCCATTACACGCCACCTGGCTTCCTTTATAGGACTTCTTGGTATCGGCGAGTATCGAAGAAAAAAAAATGTTGGTACTTGCACTCGATAGCAAAAAAACGGTATCGGTGCATGCGTAGTAAATAATGCTATTTGCTGTACGCCTCGTTTCTGTGTAGAATTTGTAACTATGTCTGCACATGTGGGCAGCCATTTTTGTTAAGCATCTATGCATTTTCTGTTTCTTTCTTAACTGCAAAAGGAATGTGTCACAACCACTCCTCTCTCTCTTTGCATAACCTGACTGAAAACATGAACACTCTCTATTAGGGCTTTTGTATGCCACAGATAAAACGTGTTTAACTTATTCCTGGACAACTTTACCCACCAATTTAATGTCTTCCAAAACAGTTACCTTTAAGACATGCCATCTGCCAAGGTTGCCAGTGTGCTTGTTTTAGATGTCAACTGAACTTTCAAGGCCTCAAATGCTGGTGCAGCTGACCACATGTGCAGCACCATGGCAATTGCAATCCATACAGAGGCTAAGATGGCACCTTCCTTGGCTGTAAGATGCAGTTCTACCTTAAGAAGCCCAATGTGAAAGCTAGAAAAACATATCTATGCTGGAAAGAGGACACATGGGTTCTTACATGCGTAAAGAGTATCTGGTCTTTCAGGTCATCCAAGTCTTCATTCGGGGTCCACGACTTGGCAAAACTTAAGAAGCCCCACTTTTCCTTGTTGTCCTCTTCAGCATGGATTTTTTCCTTCTTCCCATTTAGGGTGCTACCCGTAACCTTTGCCTGAAGAAAGAAAGAGACACTTATGAGAAGGATGTAGAGAATTACGTGGAACCAAATTCTTAATCAAAAAGTCAACCCAACAAATTATTTGTTTTTATGGTGCAAGCCGCCTGGGCCATCCCCTTGGTTTCTTCTACCTTTCAAGGAGCCCATCTACATGGAAACTACTTCGCTCACGTGCCTACCACCCCCCATAAAAGAGAGCACTCACGATTCCTTTTGGAATTTTTATTTTATATTTTGTGCATGTAAAAGAAGAGAAAAGATGGCAATAAAAAAAAAGTATTTTTAAAGTATGCTTGTGTTGTTTCCCAGACTGAGATTTATGTCGTTTATGAATTCTTCAGCAGCCGATGGGGCTCCTTCCTGTTACCTGGAGAGTGTTAGCATTTAGCACTAATGGAGAAATAATGGCTTAATATATGTAAAAAAATAAAACTCTTGTTGGTATCTACTTATAAATATATTACATAACCAGCATCTCCATTATTTTTGTTTCTTGGTAACAAAAATGAAGCATCTCTTTTCTGCAGGTATAACTGATGTGACAGGAGGGAGAGCGAGTGCTATTTACAGAAACATTTATTATATATGTATTTTTTTTATATGTTATGGGATGTTGGTACCTTAAAACTAAAACTTAACCATAAAATCTACACAAGTATATGAAATATGTATCTGCTGGGAGATTATTCATTATGATCACCATAAGACAGAAGGGTAATGGTAGAACTTTTGTTTAATGCAGATCAGACACTACCAGGACAGATAATAATGGGGCAACGAACAGGCAGAGTCCCCATACAACGGTCTAAGGGTTTAAAGTGACACTAAACTCAGGAGAAAAATGCATTCAAGTACCTTAACTATTGACAAAAATGTGTCTTACTTGTGCATCACTAGTCTGTAGATCCTAAAATTTCGGAGTTGGTGCTGACACTGTCCTTCCTTCTGGAGGGTGGCTACTTTTGTTCCCCATGGTTCCTGTGTGTGCTGTACAGTAGCCACCACTCCAAGCTCGCTCCTGTGATAAACTACAATCTCACATTTACTTTATTCATTTGCATTGAGTTTGTAGTTAATAACAGGAGTGAGCTTGGAGCGGTGACTACTTTACAACACACACAGGGACCATGGGGAACAAACATAGCCGCCCTCCAGAAGGAAGGACAGTGTCCGCACCAATTCAGAGATGATTTGAGAATCTACAGCCGAGTGATACACAAATAAGCTACATTGCGGTTAATAGTTAAGGTTGAATGCATTTTTAAGGTTTAACTTCTGAGTTGAGTGTTGTTTTAACTATCATGTGCTGACTGCTCTAGTGACCTTTATATTCTTATTTTCTTACACAGTCTTCTCTACTAACTGTGGCATTTGAAGACTACAACCAATTTCTGCAAGAGGGGACGGTCTCAGCACTGTTTCTGGCCATACACACGGTCAGTTACAATCAATTTCAACCAACTTCAATCCTCTGGGAAAAGCAAAGGTAATTACCAGAAATCAAGCGATCCATCACCCATGAGTTCGATCAACTGGCAGAATTTGGCTGATTGTGAAGCAGAAATTGAGCTCATATCGATCAAATGCACATTTCAACATTCAAAATGTTGCTTTGATCATTTTTTTCCAATTAGCACCAACGTTTCTGTCTATACAGTTGTAATGACCAATTCAATAAAGTGAACTAAAAGAATGGTTGAGGGAAAATTGAGAATGAATTGAAACTAAATCAGAACTGGAAAAACACTATGTAAAAAGGAACTTCGTAGAAAGCTATCCAATTTTTTCATTCAAGTTCGAGCAGGATCATTTTGATTGCATCTCCTTGCAGTAGACCCAAACCTGCATTTCATGTCTTGGATTGCTTTGCAATTTCAACATAAAATGGAATCGAAATTTCGAACGCTCAACCAAATTGCTAGGCCTGGTCAAGGTGGGTATAAGTGGGCTTGACAGAGACTCACCCAACTTGCCCTGAATCTCTGAACACAGATTCACATTACATTTGCCAAAAATATGAGTTGTCGTCATCTGCCTATAAGCAATAACCTGAACTCTAGGGGGGGGGGGGGGTTGTTTTTATAAAAAAAAAAAAAGGCTGTTTATTTTGCCAGGGAATTTTCACCAAGTGAATGAGGTTCACAAAAGCTCTGTTGATTTCCATCACCCAAATCAAGTGCCAGTAAAAATAATGTCTGCTTGTTTATTTTTTATATTATGTTCCTTGCACGTGATTGGGTAATCTTTTCAAAGTGAATTTTCACCACATTCACTAAGCCGAGTGAAGATTCCCTTGCAAAGTGAACAACCTTTTTGCCTTTAGTAAATCAATTTATATGACCTCGTTTGAAGCCTGCAGGCCAACTACCATATGATGATTGATTGGAAAGGTGAGGAAAAAGTGTTCACTCTGCATTGTTCTCTTCAAGAATAATACGGCTTGCATCACTTGGCCACAATCTTCACATAGGCATAAACATTATACCAAGCTTTTATGTTTATGCATATAATGGCTTCAGATCGAATTTGTCTATGTGATCACCCTTTTGCAAATATGGCTTGTTTAGCAATTAAAGTAGTATTAAGGTCTGGGCGTTTTTTACCTTAATGCATTCTCTGCATTAGGGTACTGCCCAGAACCTTTTTCTCCCCCAGTCCCCCCCCCCAGTCACCCACCAGCAAGGCTCGTCCCTGCCGCCGGTCCCGACGTGATCCTCTGTTCCCTGAGGTTCCTGGTTGCAGGAGGGGGATACTGATGGCAGAGGAGTCATAGGCTCTTTCTGCCATTAAAGTGTTGGTCAGAAAGAAGTCAGAAAGAAGGGGCGTGGCCTGTCACAGGGCTGTGTGTGTCTATGGACGCACACAGCCACTGTGGGCACGAGCGCACACGGGTGCCTCCCTTAGAACAATGGCGGCACCTGTGCAAGGGGCGGGGGGAAGAACGCTGTGGGGACCCACTAGAAAACAAGGAATTTAAAACTTTTAAAGAAAAAAAGCAACATCCTCTGGCAAAGGTGGGTCTCCTAATAGCAACTATTTAAAAAAGAAAAAAGAAGGTTTAATATCGCTTTAAAGGCATGCTCCATCTTTTGACCTTTTTTCATTTACAGCGCAACATGACAGATGGTCACATTCAATAAACA